GGAAGCCAAGGTCGGGGCTGCCACTAGCCGCCCCCTTTACCCTTCCCCGACACGTGCTCAGCAGGTGCAGAGCCCCCCCCGGTAGTGATTAGCACTACACTAATTAACATAGAGCACAACTTCACCCTTGTCTGCAAGAAAAGCACTAAAGCCTTGGCACAGCAGGGCAGAGCTCTGCACCACCCCTCTGTCTACCGCCCCTGGTTTTCTCTTCATTGCAATCAACAGCTGGAGCAGGTCATCCAGTAGAATCCAGTGCGTTTATTTCTTGCAACATCTGAATGGGTGTTTCAGCTTTGAACACATACAAATTAATGCTTGCAAGTTTAATGACAATCAGTACGAGAAGCAAATCACTGTATAAAGCTCATAGAAAAAAAAATGCCAAATGGGTCAGGTCTGTCTTTTCCTGGGAAAAGACAAAACAAAACCAAAGCCCAAGCATTCCAACTGAAGGCCTCATGGCAGCAAGCATAACCCCTTCACAAAACGTTAGTAACAAGTCAGAATCAACTATCAGTGTAGGCAGCTGAAATACAAGTATTCATTCTCTTTCTGCAAGCAGCTAATTTAACTAGAGATAAACCAGTTTCCATAGTCTAATTAGCTGGGGAAAGTTTGCCAGGAATACACCTGCCCCTGTGATCTGCAGGAGCCACTACTCTATGGCCATGACTCCAAGAGGGCAGGGCACCAGCTAAAGAATCATACTGATACCACCCCCCACTGCTTCACAACCCTTCTGTAACTATGAACTGTTCCAGTGCAAACCACAGTAAGTCTAGGGCAGCGTGTTAACACTAAAACGGGGGCAAGAGTGAGATGAGCAAGCGAAACACAAGGTACAGGCAGGAGCACCCCGCTCCCCTTGTCTTCTCACAGCCCTGGTGTCAATGGCTGGCATTGCAATCCCCAGTGGAAAGGGAACAGACAACAGTGCCAAGTTAGACTTCAGGGGGTGCTGTCTTGCCACTTTCCAGTAAGATTGACTCGCCCTGGATGTTAACAACAGAGAATCAGCTTATGGCTGATGCTGGAGGTCTAGTAGGAATACCAACACTTCTAAATACAACCCTAACGGCAAGAAACACTGCTTACTTGACCGAGTAGTTAGCTACTTAGTGTTCCAACTTGATGCATTGAGCAAACCTCTCCAAAACTTCCTAAGAGTCCTGTGGTATCCACTTGCTTCAATTTGTATTCAGAACATACAAAGTTGACAACTTAAAGCTTTATTGTAGTTTGCAATAATATAAACAAGTGCTGAAATTCAGTCAATGTCCATTTCAGGAAGCTTTTTCTCAGGGGCAGCAGCAGCACCCCCCTCCTGGTCAGGGGCCTGGGCCCCACCGCTGGCTTCTCCCTGCCCAGCTACTGGTCCGTTGGGTTCAGGGGGTTTCTGCTCCTCCTTCGGGAGCTCAACTTTGGGTTTTGGTTTTGTGACTATAGGATTACAAGTACTTGTCAATTCCTAGAAAACACAGAAATAAAAAACCACTGTTAGAAATTTTTTTATCTACCAACAGTTGTACTTTCAACCAGTTGCTCAAATTAACTTTTCAAAACACCAGATGGATAGTGGAGCTGAGGGCTGACCCCCTCCAATACACTATTAACAGATTAATACCCAATCACTGCCCTGCTATTAAAGATTTCTCACCTCAGTCTCTCTGAGCACAAACAACCAGACCAAGAAACAGAAAGATTCTGCATAATTCACATAATTTCCACAAACTACTTACTTTAGTCTTAGCTTGTATGTCTTTAGCTTTTATAACTGGGTCCAAAGTAAGACTTCTCTTGTTCTGAAGATTAAGTTTGTTGTTCATCCACTCCATAGCTTCATTTGCACTCTTCTCCACTTTCACTACATCTGCTTCATCTAGATGGTCATACTGTTCATCCTGAAACAGCCAAAGTAGTAGTAATTGTGGAAAGATTTGAACATCTAAATTGTATGCTTATTTCTCAAAAGCCCCTTTAGCCAGAAGGTAGTTGTAGTTAGCAGAGCTATTAAGGAGATCACCCCCAGCTCTAACAGGAGCACTGAAGTTCTGCACCACTGCTGGTATTTCCCCTCCAGGAAGAAATCGACACCTGATTCAAAGAGACTGTCAGATTTTCAAGCTACCACCCATCTCTGAAAAATATGGTAAATACCAAGAACTCAGAAGCTAGCCAGGAGGTTCCACCAGCTTTTTGTTTGAAGGAGCTTACTTAAAAGTCAGAAAATATTTGTACCATTTCTTACATTGGCCAGAAGTATGGCAATACCTTTGCTTTGAATGCATGAACAATTTTCATGTACTGTTGAATTTGCTTCCCTAGGTCCTCAAATGCTTTTGGTCTTTCCTCTGACTCTTGAAATCGAGCCTGAATCGGTTGACCCAGAGTCTGAAACAAAGTACAACAGCTATCAAAAACCAGGCAGCATCTCAACAGGATCCTGCAAGACTTGACAGGGTACGTAAACATTTCTGACACCCTCAGAACACTTAGAGGAGGGACAGAGTCTCCCTCAACCCTCTACTGTTGAGATCTGCTCCTCAGACACTTAATAAGCAAATTAATTAGTCTGTTACCAGTGCTAATCTCTGAAGCAGTAGACCCAAGACAGCTCCCCACTTGAACAGAGTTCTCTAGATTCAGCAAATTCCAATGGGAATGTAAGAACCACTTACCTTCAACTCAGTCAATTTATCAATGTAAATTTGTTTGGGTTGGTCTTCACCATCTTCATAAAGCCAGTTCTCTGTATCTTCCAGCTTCAGCGTGAAGCTATTTCGATCCTGAGGCAATCCATACAAAATACATAGGTGAAAATTCTATTAGATGGCAGATGGTATTAAATGATTCTTAAAATGAAACCCTTCCAGAAAAGTTCCAAGTAAGTAAAGAATTTTGAAACTCTTTACCCTATTTTAGTGAAAAGTAAGAAATAAAATATTCTTCAGTATGGCTTAGTGGTGGAGACCAGGCCCAAGGAAGAACCATCTACAAGACCCACAGTTCAGATCAATACTGTCATATAAAAGCCTATTTCTTCCCCCGCCCCATTCTCATCATCACTATGAGCAAGTCTGAGAACAGAGTGAAACTCATCTTTAGCAAAGGTGCTACAAATCTCACTTGACTTGTCCCAGTTTTAGCTCTGATGCAGGTACCTGGGCTCTGCAGACACCTTGCTGGCACAGCTCCCATCGTAACCCATGGAGATCTACTCAAGATCATTGACTAATGCAGTCAGCTAACTTACAGTTATATTAATTACGCTCCAAGCTCCTTTAGTACAACAGGGAAAGCTAATTAACACCACAAATACCAAGAGATTTTTAGGTAACCTGTTCAGATACAGGTGCCCACATTTAGTCAGACTAACTCCCCCATTATGTTCCTAGGTAGGGTTGTTTGATTTTTTAAAAAAAAAAAATCTTAAACTATTCCTAAATACTGACAAAGAGCCAAAATAGAATAGGTTGCCTTAAAATGATTGTGCAAGTGCTCCTAGTCTGTTCCAGTCTGAAAATACATGCTTTGATAAGATCTTAATTGCTGCAACTGTTTTGGAAGAGAACACACAATACATCCTGCATACCATCTGCTTGTACTTGGGCCACATTACAAGGTTATCTTCATAGCCAGAAATGTTAAAAAGCTATTTCTCCAAATTTAAAGTCTGCAAACATAGTCTAAATAAACATAGTATCTGATACAGGTCAAAGGTTATTAAAAGACAACTGCTCATTGCAACAAAATACATTAGAAGACAAACAAGCTAGAAATACTTACATCTTCATTAACAAATTTCTCATAAATACCGCAGAGTTTGTCTCTCATATCATACACATATTCTTCCACAGCATTCTTGGCATCATTCCTCTCTTTCTCTAGCTTATCCTGCATTATCATTTTACCCTGTGAACAAGTTGTCAAATTAGTTGGCTAAAAACTAGTTATTTAACATTTATTGCCAAGATACCTTGTTAGCAAAGGCTTAAGTTTGACTAAGGATTTTTAAACACTGGTTTACAGGACTGTTCTAGGCACAGCACAGAAATAAAAACTGATTTTGGTTTTTGTGAGGTATCCAGTACAGAACAATCTCGCTCCAGTTGAGGAACCTTCTTCACCCTGATAGTAGCAGCTATTAAGCACCTTGTAACTGCAGGTGATTTTGGAAATAGTCACCCTGTGAACTAGCTGTCCTGCAGAACACCTCTTCAGCAAGAGTTACAGCACTCACTGAACAGGAGTCATGTATTTTGGCTCCACAGGGCACTGTTGTTCACCTCCGAAAATATTGCCTTTCCCCCCCTCCCTTGATCACCATTAACCACATTTAGTCAACAGCAAAATTTCTGGAGATCAACTAGTGAAGTTTTTAGCTTGGGCAAGTAAGAGTTTACCTCATTCTCAATGAATAAGTTCAGCATATCTTTCCCTAGCCACACCAACTGATTCTCAATGGGAAGGTCCACTGTAGTAGTCTTTACTTTAGCCTTCTTGGCTTGAGGTGGTTGATCCACTTTCTTGTCTTTCGAGTCAGCCTGAGACGTCTGCATGAAAGAAATATCCAAAGTAAGAACAGCATCACCAGTCAGTTCCAGTTGATTATTCAAGACTTGTAATAAAAAAAGTATTATTGAGTTAGTGCAGCTCAACATCAGAGCTGCACACTGTCATTCTGACACTTCAGCTGCTGAAGTCAGATAATTAACGCAACTACTGACCTTTTCCAGGCACACTGACTACATTCATGGGGTGATGGTGCTTGTAGTTGAACACTTTTCTAGTATTTAAGTTATTGAGAACTAAATGATTGTTTCCTTCATGAACAGGAAAGTTCACCCATTTTATCAGTACTAGGTCACCTGACAGGTCTGCAGTTATCCACACCATTTATGTACTTCTAAAGCTCTAATCACAATACAGATACCAATATATTAAAATAAAAGTTTAGCTTCCAGAACTATGACAAAGGCCAGCAGATATGCTCACACACTACACATTCTCATGAATCTTCCAGAAGTATCCTGTAAGAAAATACACGTCTCAAATGTTTGTGTTACCTCCATTTCTTCAGACTCTGCCTTATTTTCAGGTTGGGCCTGCTGTTGTTCTTCAGTCTTTTGTTGCTCTTCCTGGTCTACTTGCATCTTCTGAAATTCATAAAGAGATCCAATTTGACATATGGAACAATGCATACACAGATCATTGCTTCAGTTCCTAGGCTGCTCACCTCACTTATACCTAATGCTCTTCATGCAAAAGCAGACTGAAAACTGGAGTCTCAAGGCATAAGTTACAAGCTTCTGGTCTTTACTTAGCAAGCAACAGCTCCATGATTAAGAATTCCATCTTATACCTCACAATCCTGGTTTCAAGAGAACTGTCACTGGCATAGCATACTTCAATTAGTACTTAATCACATTTTTGTATTTTAGTTGCTGGACACATCTAAATCCCGACACAAGTCCCAGAACTTGGCCAATTGTGCTTCCCCAGTTTTCTAAGCAGCTAAGAGCAATGAAGTCTATTACCTCTTCCTCTTTTGCATGCTGATCTGTTTCCATAGGCTCTTCATTCTCATCCGATTTATGAACCTCCACTAATGATGCACTTGAAACACTGAAGATACCATGGATATTTACTCTAACTTTGACTTTCACTTTTGAACTGGAGCCATCTGTTTGAGGAGTGACCTTCTGAACCAAGAAGTGAGCTAAACAATCCCAGAGAGGAAAAAAACCATATCATTTGATTAACTTAATCACTGAAGGTAAAGTAAAACCTGACTGTTGCTGATAACAGATCACTGCAATACACTCAGAGGATATCAAATCCTACTCAAGTCAAACAATTCAGTTTACTCAGCAATGCTACGATACACGGCTATTAGAAACTCTCTACAGTATGCTGTAAAAGCTGCTGTTACTGGTATCCAAGTAAAAGACTGCACAATTCTGAGTATGCCCCTCAGGTTTACTCTAGTATTAGGATGCTCTTTGTTTAGCCTATGGGTCCATAAACTTCATGTTACTCCACTCATTTTACTGCAGATCCATGACTTTGGTAACCTGTCTCTACAGCTAAGTTATGCTTTCCAGACTTTATTAATAAAACTTGAAACTACAGAATGATCTTAACCTATAGCAGGATCTGGGTAAGGCAACTCCTTGGGACAGCTGTAGTACGCCTCAAGAGTAAAAGGTTCCTTTCTGTAGAATGTGAGGACCTTAGAAAATGGAGCAGCATGGTTCTTGGGAAAGACCTCACAGTCACTGTAAGAGAAAACAGAGCATTTGTTCAGTATGCAGGATAATGCATCTAGAAAAGTTTTATTGACTTTATCAGATACTCCTATACCTTAAGAAGAAGCTTCTATTAAGTAGTAACAGAAGAGTCTCCTAACCTCTTAAGTTAAATAAGGCCAATAGCCATACAGGAAGTGCCAAACTGCCATCCATCCTTGGTTGTTTTCTACTGTTATCTTCAGAAAAAGTATCAAATTTTGAGTTGTTAAGTGGCCACTGTTCTAAGTGTTATTTAAAACTAAATTATGACAACTAGAATAAGTGGTATGTAATCATGCAAGAAGATTGAATTTTTTACCTTAACCCTTCCTCTGCTGGTGAATTCCATCGTAAAGAAATAGGATACAGTATCAAATCTGTGATAGAAAATTCTCTCACTTTGAAAGCCGGGGATAAAATAGCACACTGAAAGAGCACAAGAGTCATATTACAAACATTCAAACTTCAGGTGAATAGCAATTTAATTCAGCAAGTAGCTATTTATATTGCTTAATATGTGAATTTACTCTAGGTCAAGGAGGACTAATACTGAGGGGCTTGGGACCTGCATAATAAGCACTGGAAGCTCATTTATACTCTTCCTTTTCAGGAAGCTGTCATAATCTGTTCACTCTGAAATGGAAATACACAGTTTTAGTTTAGAGTCATCATATTGTTTGGTTTGCTATGGTTAGGCTACTAAGTTGTTTTTAGTGCTGACATAAGATATCAGAAAACCTCAGTTATAGCTACTTTTTAGAGTGACCCAGTACCAGGCTTTTTGCATGCTGTAACACAAAATTCTCTTTTTTAAGCAGATTCCAATAGCTAGTTTGTACCAGTGAGCTTACTAATGTAATTAAACACCTGGAGAGAAGTGACATGATCAGAGCTAAAGTAAGGTGCACTCAAGAGATGGTAGCACTAGTAACTATGGAATATTTACTACTGCTTAAGCCATTCAACAGTCACCGATTCCAGCTTGGGGTGATAGATTTCCATTAGCAAAAACCTAAGCTTTCATTTCCATCCATGTTATTAGGCAATTACCGTATCACAAGTTTCAGTAGTGCTGTAAGAAATTTTCCCCTGTTTAACTGAGTCCCCCCAGAAGAGAAAACATCCTATGAGCTTCACCAGATTCTCAGTTTCCAGCCACAGCAGAACCAGAGTGCGTGTTTCACTTCAGCAAGCTACACTGATCCACTGACTTGTCAGAGACAAACAGCACAAAGGAATCACTTAAAATTGCTATTCTCGTTCTTACTCTATTCTGCTTTCCTGAAGCTTATTCAAAACCATTCTATGATACACATGAAGTATCCTTCATGTTACCTGTGGACTCTGGCTCAAGTTTTTATGGATTTCAATTAAAAAAACCACTCACAGCTAAAACAAAGAGCACTTGTTACCTGCAACGCACAGCCTCGTGCAACAGCCTCATCTGCATTCAAAGTTGTACTGACTTCTTTGCCAAAAAATTTACTGATTTTCTCTTTTACAGCAGGAACCACCAACTATCTCTACTGCATAAATATCCTCCTTCTTTAACTCTAGAAAGGAGTCAGACATTAGCTTTTATAAATGGTTTGTTTTACATTAATATGCTGACATTATAAAGTATAAGTTTTACTAGACCAACTATTATTTTGAGCTTGTTCTCCAAGCAGTAACAATTTCAGAACTTAGCTTGTACAAAAAAGTTTTAAAAAGCTTTTAACTGCTAAGCAAGGCATTGTTAGCTGTGCTAAATCCACTTGTCAACACCCACTGGGAGCTTACATTATGGGGGTCTCTTCTGCATGCCAAATACAAAATGCATATACACTTACTGGCTTGCTCCAGCACACTGCGAAGGGGTGGTTCTATCCTTGCAAGGAGTCCATCACACATCTCTAAAAATTTGCTTCTGTTGGAAGAAGCCATAAACAAAGCTATAGTATTTGCAGTATTAACTTGCTTATGGTACGCAACAGGATGTCAGAATTGAAAGAATGTCATTTTAACTATGTACTGTAGGGTTTTCTCTCCCCTGATCCTAGTTTTACATTCATTTAGCATATTCTCCCAAACTTGGTTCTAGTGATCTGGCACACTTGCAACACTGACAGCCCTCCCTCCTAACTCAAGGCCACTGACCAGTCTCTAAACATTAACATTTTGAGCAGCAACCCTGCATCTGTCGTTCTCAGATTTCCCACCCCCCTCCAGTCCCAAGAACTAGTACTTTATACTAAGTTTTTCTTGACTGAAGCAACTTGAATGGAGGGCACTCTAAAGTTTACCTTTGTAAAAGTATAACATTACCTGTTCATTGTTCCAGAGACATCTATGTCATTCATGAAGCATTCTATGTTCATCGGGAGATCAGAGGCATTAGCGCTCATCAATTTTTTCAGTTTTTCACATTCCTGGTATAGCCTCAACAACGCACGAATCTTTGACTTTATGTCTAGTTTATATTTCTTTCCAAATTCTTCACAAAAGTATTCAACTAACATCTCATCAAACTTTCTGCCTCCAAGTGTTGTATCAAATGATGTAGCAAGAACCTTAAAAAAATTGAACTCTTCAGTAATAGTGCAATTTGTCATTAGTTCACTGAAGCCACTTAGCAGTTAATGTCAAAGCATTTCTTTCTTTCAAATATAGTCCAACTTTAAATCAAAGCAAGTATCACAACATTACTACAGAGGAAGAATTATACTGGTGCAGCCACAACAGAAAAAATTCTGGTACAGCTCATTTTTATTCTGCCCTTGCCATCACCTGTAAGGAGTTTCTTTCAATGAGCCTTGTCTAGAAGTCTAACCCATCCCAAACAATAAAGCTACGTCCCATACTTATCCTTCACATTTCACAGATACTGCTGGCAAGAATTAAGCTATTGTATTTCAGAGCAATCACATTACTAGCATCTGAGTTTGTTAATTGCAACTGCAGTAGTAGTTGTACACATCCTATGAGATGCCTTTTTTGTAAAGCCTACCAAGTCTAAACCATGATTATCCTATGCCTTTTGTAGCTGTTATCACACATGTTCCAAATGCTGTTGGAAGAAACCACCATTACCATGGACAAATTCTGGCAGCTACACAAATATTGGACCTCTTTGTGAATGGTAATTCTCACAAGAATTGCTGTGCATACACACAGCTGTTACAAGCTTAAGGAGAAACATCTGCCATCTCAAGTGTTAAAAAGCAGCCTTGGGCACCCAGCCTTCCTGTAATGAGGTGACAACTTTTAAAAGAACTTTAGGAAGATAAGGCAAGGCTTAGCAACACAATCTGTTCAGTAACTAGTACTGTAAGCAGACCATTAGTTTCCAAACTCTGCTTAGCCACTGTCAGTTTGAGTCATATCCCAGTTTAATATTTGATGCCTCATAAGGGTGGAACATGCTTGCACCAAGCTAAAAATAAAACATGAAGAGAATATATGTTAACTCTTGCAAATAGGTGCTCATTTTTGATGAGGGAATTATCTGTAAACAACATCTGTAGCCCATCCACCTCAGCTGATTTTACTCTTTAAACTTTTTTTTTTAAGGAAAAAAAAGTCAGTGAAGTATCACATTATTCTCAATACCTCTGCAGATTAGGTTTGGTCTCCACACTTAAGTGCCTTGCTATCCAGCTCTCTATTCTATACTCAGAAGTATCCCTTCTGTACTTCTACAGTTTCAAAGTTTAAAAGATAAATCCAAGAGAAACAAAGTAGGTTACATTTCCTCACCAGAGGAAAAAACCCTACAACAGAATTAATGTATTCAGAACTCTTGCCTTCTCTTCTTTTCACCACCCCATGCTTTAGAATTTGTGTTTGTTTCTCTAGCAGATTAAGAGAAAGTTATTGGAACTGCAAAGATCCAGATTGTAACTGTAAAAGAGTCAACTAAGAAATGTTAGTATTTGCTGGAGAACAGTAATGCTTCGGCAACTTACACTTAGAAGTTTACTGCAACTTGCTTAGCTTCCATTCACAGCTTAAAGTGCTTTAAAGTGGTTTTACTCTTTTACATGCACACCACAGTGAGCGTTAAAAAAGCATTTGTCACTTACACCACTCTAGGAATGCCTGTTCTAATGCTAGATCTCGTGACTGAACTAGAGTATTTTTTGAAAGCAGCATCCAGTCAGATATGATAGTTTCTGAACAGATCATTTATTCCAGGTTTTTTATTCCTTGCCAAAGTCTGCTGATTAAGGCATGTTTGCTTCCTCCACGTATTGCTCAAAAGCTCTCTAGTTCCCTGCCCTGCTTGTAACTCCAAAGTGCAATTTTCAGAATAAATTGAGCTGTCTGGATGTGCTTATGTAAAGACAGGCAAGCTTGCCTGTCACAGGCCGTGTATGTACTGATGAATATTTCTACTGGTAATTAAAATGGATGCATAACAGATTGTTTACTTTCAGTTTTCCTTTGTTGAATGCACAAACAGAAACTTGATATGCAGAATGCCCCATATCCACAAAAACAACATTCCGTGGCTTCTCTTCCAAGGCAGGCAGGTCTTGCTTATAGATCCCATATGCAAGGGCAACTACACAAAAACAAGAGTCAAAGAGTACAGTTAGGACTTTCAGTCTTGTAATTCCTTAAGAAATTAATGGTACATCAGTAAACAGCATTAGCATTTCATCTTACTTTCCAAGCTAAGTAAACTGATCTCTCATTAAACAAAATTCCCAATGCTAAAGAAACATGGAAGAACATTAAGCAGTAGTAGCTGCATTAGAACAGATAGCTAGGAAGTGTCTTTATGCCTCTGTAAACAATAAAAAAAACCAGACCAGAGCTTAAGAAACTTTATGATCAACTAATCTATTTTACATTTACAAAACCAGCAGTAATTCCAGAGGGCACTGATCAATGACAGATTAAAAACCCTTTTATCTAATAAAACTACAATACTAAGTGAGGGAGAAAAAGAAAAGTATTACCTGCAGTTGTTTCATTTATTAGTCTCAGACAGTTGAGACCAGCAATCTGTGTAGCATCCATCACAGATCTCCTTTCTGCATCTGTGTAGAAAGAAGGAACCTGCAAGAAGATCAGATAACCAATATTAACATTTAGAAGAGCCATCTTTAGCAGATAGTTACAAGTGTGTCTAAAGAGTCAGCACAGAGCACAGCTGAGGTATCCTTCAAATTTAGTGTGCTCATTTTGGTTGCAATAGAGAAAAGCAAAGAAAACATTACATGAAGACAAAGTTACTTTTTGTCAATCTTTTTCCATTCTGTCTCACAAGCCACTCACTTTCAGAGCAGAGAACCAGAAAGAGATATCAAATATTATTTATGTTGCTAATCAGCAGCAATTTAAGGTATTTTACCGTTAATGAAGTAAGTCTAATTTTGGAGGACAGATGTCAGCAAGATTCAGTTTTAAACAGAAGAGACAAATACCTGAATATTCAAGTTTAATGGGCAATTTAATGCTGCAGTCTTTACGATACCAACCAAATATGTAAACTGAAAATTTACTATCACATACTTACAGAAACAACGCAATCAACTACAGGCTTCTTAAGCGCATTCTCAGCAGTCTCTTTTAATTTGGTAAGAAGCATTCCCGTCACCTGTTCAATAGTAAAGTTTCTTTCTTCTTCCATATACATAGCCTTCAAATAAAAATTGTGTACACACGTATTACACTACAGTAAAAACCATGCACTACAAGAAGAAACAGTCTTCACTAAAGGCAAGCTTAAAAAGTAATGCAGCTCTACACAACCTTCTCTGATAGCCTAGCTTGTGCACAGCAACTGCAAGAAGATAATCATAAACACTGGAACACACATTTAAGAATTCACATACACAAAGCTGCTCTGGACACAGGTTTGATTCTTTTAATCCCAATTACTACTAGAACAGTTTGTGTGGGACTAGCTTTGCAAGGCAGAGAAACTGTATAACTGTGCAAGATCAGTCTCACTTAACACCTGGAGAGACCATCTGCATTATTAGTCTTTTATTCCCTATTTAAGACTTCCCATTCACAAGAGAACAGAAACCACAGCAAGCAGATCCAAAATAAGGAGATAAAAGGAAACTTTATCAGTTTCCTCTGCTGGCTCTGTTTCAAATATGCCAGACTTACCTTGATGCCAGTTGAGCCTGTTGGCAGCTGGACAAGTTCATACGCAAGGCTTGCTTTTTCAGCTTGAACAAAGGGATCTGAGAATGCACGACCATGAAATCTTTTAAAACTTTGTACTGTATTCTTTGCATTTGAAATAACCTAGAGGAAAAGAAATCTTTAATACAACATGTCAGGGGAACATCTGAATTTCAGACAGAAGACAGTTTTGTTCTCATGCTTCCCTCACCAGAGTATTTTTGTCATTTCTATCTTAATAGTATCAGGGCAGTTGCTAGAAGGCAGCTTCCCTCTGATTGCTCAGTAAAGTGTACCCTAGAAAACTGAGCCAAGATTCCATCAAAAATTGATAAAAGCAGCACTCAATTTTCATTGTGTGTGCACAAAACACTTTAAAAATGTTAGCAAAGTGTCTTTCCCATTTACCTGTTTCCTACCACCCTACCTTTCTACTACAGTGCAGCCAGTATTTTAGCCCAACAGAACAAGCATATCGATCTAAACTCCAGTTCAGATTCATCACATGCATGTGACAGCCAACACATTCTCACAAAACAGCTCTAGGACCTCGTCATGAAGCTTTAAGAAGTCAGGAGGGCCCGCAAGATGATACTGTCAGCTTGATTTAACTGACAAAAGGTAGATTGTCTTTTATTACTAGCAGAGATCAGTGCAAATGGAGAAGTGAAAAATCACTATAGCTTGCTTTCATGTAGTGCAAGTAAACTTGTTTAATTCTTTCATTTATATTAGAGCAAGACACATACTGAAAAAACCACAATAATTGACAAAGCAGACAAACACTGTACCATATAACATTTACCTGTGATTCAGGTTCAGTCAAGCATCTATTTCCTAAGTAACCTGGGTTTGATTTTCTGTAAGTTTAATTTCTGCAGGACATACCTCATCTCTACTGGATCTCTGTATCAATGAATTTCTTTAAGCTAAGCAGACACTCAATTCCAGAAAAAACATCTGTATTTAGTTCTAGTACAGTTCTTCTGTTCTTGAATAACATGGTTGTGTCCAGTCATTTTTGTATTCTAGATAATGAATCTTCACACATCTCTAGGTATTTTAGGCTAAGAAAAACCAAGTGTTTGAATAGTCACTTCCTGTAGAGGACTTCAAAAAAAAATTATGTTTTATAGGGGTTTCACAGCAACACAAGATACGATACAGCAGGACCTAAATGTCATGAGCAGGACAAATCAGCTTAGCTTCTTCTCAGATCTTAAATCATATTTACCTACCTACACCAACAGAAACTGTAAGTATGAGCAAAAATGCCTAAGATAAATATTCAGGTTGTAATTCAACCACAAAGAGTCAAGAAAGCTATATATATTTACACTCAAGTACCTGCCTTTCTGCCAAAGTTATCCACTTAATGGAATGCTATAGAATGTAACCACATAAAAGCTATAATAATGGAACAAGCTAAGGTAAGATGAAACACTGCTGCTTAGCTTTAGAATTTACATTTGCAACCTAAAAAAAATAATAGTATTTATCAGAATGTCTTAAGAAGCAAAAGGGGGGTTTTTTGTACATTTCATTATGTACAGTTATCAACCCTTAGATTTCTATCCAAGATGACAAAGCAGCATTACATGCAGAACAGCTGAATAAAGCTCAGCTGTTCATTACAGTTATGGAGACACTAGGAAGCCAGCTCAGAGACATTTGTAATCTTCATTGATAAAAAATGCATTGTGCTAATCTGATTTTTTGACTACCAATGTTGCTTTTACCCAAACTATATGCTCACCTGACTTTTAGCTGCGGCACCAATCGAACGATTCTTGGGTCCAAAGGCTATACATGATCTATAATGAGAATAAAGTTTTCCAATTAGTAAGTGACTGGTAGAATTGCACTGCATATCTTTTTGTTAAAAAGTGTCAGTAATATTATACTAGAGATATTTTAAACAGTATTTGGTCCATTACAAAAGTTCCTCACCCACTACAATACATGCATGGAATGTTCTGTGAATTCTGGAAGGAAACAGGTACTCTAAGTTAAGTTAAAACAGCAATGCTCCTCACTGCAGAACACTAAACCCAAAATTTATTCATGCTACTTCAAGTTTTACATCTAAGTAATAACCAAGTAGACACTCTTTATTTCAACTACCCATCTAAGCCACTCAAAGAAAAGGTTTTAGCTAGTAATATGGGAAACATTCAACTGTTCAGAAGAAATACACGAGGTAAATCAGATATTAAGAAAATCATTCCTACATGTCTGTACCAAAGGCTAACTAAGCTTTTCAGTTTTAAAGCAAATCCTTCAAGAGCAGAAAGACAAAACCTGCAGAGAAAGATTAGTGTTTATGGGTTTCATCTGTACTCACTGAAATAATGTAATTATGGAAAGAAAAAAAATCGTACTTCACTATAACTACTTTGTGATAGCTTGCAGGTCTAAAAGAGATACAATTAAAAAATCCTCATTTTGGAGAAGCTCCTAGATGTATTAAACCTATTAATTTACATATTTAAACTGCAAAAGCCCTAAAAAATTAAATCCAACCTTCTAATCCATGATCCTCATACCACTGAGGTAAACTTTGGGGGGGATATTGCTATTAGTCAAGCAGATCTTAATTATACTGTTATAGTGTGTTGTGTGAATAGTAAAGCTGCTCTCTATGCAGCAAGTCAAAAAACTGCTGTACAGCAGGGTTATGCCATAGGGCTGCCACAAGAAACAAATTCCAACTCAGCCTGAAGTTTAGAAATGGTCTTCCAAACAAACTATCAAAACCAGAATTGAAGACTAGAGCAATATAATTGCATTTAGTTTTATCTTCTTCCAATTATTAATAACTTAACTAATGAAACAAGGCCCACCCTAAAGCATATGTTGCAATAGAAGTAACATTTCTGAATGAATCTGTTGTTATTTGAAACAACTATTCAAGGGATTAGTTAACAAAAAGTGAGGAAGCTCTGTGCTGTGCAGACCCCAAGGCCCATACGAAGGGAACAGGAGCTGTAGAATATACAGAAAAAAGTCTAACAAGCCCTGAGCAGAATATAGTTATTCATTTACTCTGGTCTCCAGAAAGGAATTAAGACATGAATCGGTGCTTTTCTTCCGGATGAAAAAAAGCTAATCCAGCTATTTCACTGCTAAATTCACAAGCCATCAGCTCCCATTCACCACAAATCCACTAATGTAGATTACAGAACTCTTTAAATCTGCCAGTCTAAAATCTCAAGTTAAAAGTCTGTCTCAACATAAGGATACAGCACAGTAATCAAAAAATACAGGGCTCCATATCGTACGCTGGAACAAAGCCTTTTACATGCATACGGCTTGGCTTTGGAGACAAGTGCCTGTCTCCAAGGAGCTGCAGCTGGACAGAGGGGATAGTTCTACTCCGCTCCTTCCTTTTCTGCCTGTCCAACCCTTCTCCCAAGTTAACCCTGGCTCCCAACTGGGCCACACAGGGACCCAGTGCAGGGGTAAGTTAAGCTGGCAAGAGGGAGGGAAGGAAGAACTGTCAGCCAGTTTCATTCCCCAAGTCTGTTCACCATGGGAACCAGGGTTAACCCATTAAATACAAATTATACTATTCAACTTTTTTTAAATCATGTCATAATGAACCATAGCATTTTAAGTAGAAACAGTCATAGTGAAGGTCATCAGAGGCCTAATGAAGCAACTTAAGCAGAGCTTTTAACTTCCCTGACACACCTGCAGGCACTAATTCTTCACCCTTGCCCTCCTACCGGCTTTCACTTCCTTGGAAGACATCCCCTGATAGAATACTTCTCTACACTGAAAAGCAGCACTAGCTTCTTAAGATCAGTTACAACTACTTCACTTAATCTAAGTCCCTTTATCCTTATGGAGACAATACAGCTAGCTTACATTTACACCCCCCCCTTTTTTTTTTTTTTTTTTTCTTTATTTCTCTCTGCCACTTTTCCATTTTAAGAATATCATATTCAAAGACAAACGTGTTTTACACTGCTTTTGGATGTACAAGTTCAAATTTTAGAGGATTCTGGAAGAATCCAAGTACAGAGCTGAAAGCAGATTCAGTGAGAATGTCATCTCTGCCACTGAACTAAGTACAATGTATTCAGTAGGGTTTATTAATACAAACGACCGCAATAACACATATCTGCTAATCCTTCCCAGAATTTGCATGTCATCATAGAAAACCTAGTGTTTAACCCTGACCATGAGTCAATTCCTGAGAAAACCTGTCAAACACCTTGCATGACTTCCCCCAAAGCTCACTGTAAAGAGGTGCTAAGCGTTGACTTTCTGAACCAGGCTGTTTCCAAGGCGGACACTTAAAAGTCATTAAGAACTTCTTTTAATAGATGTGTTTGCTTACAGAACAGTTTTCTGTATTCCCTCAGAGCAGTACTTGGAGATTAACTCCTGTTAAGAACGCTATCATTTTCATTATGCTAATTTTTTCCAGTTTCACTTCAGCCTTTCATAAATGAATTATTTCCTGAAAGATGCATTGTGACAAATAGTTATATAGCTAATCCTCACTGAGTGAAATTTGTGTTTATATCTCAAATGTATAAGCAGAACTTCAACTCCCTGAGGGCCAGATACCTAGAGATATTAGAACACTGCTTTAAAATTCTTTACATTAAATATTTTCCTAGTATATCTAACCTTTAAACTTTCATTATTGAGAATACTTAAGGGACTAATGTACCAAATTAAACGTTTCCTTCGCCATTTATTCATTGCTTAGAAACAGTAACAAGCAGACAGAGCTGAGGTATTGTCTAATGAGAAGCAAGGTCATTTTACTCCTCTGGTCTTTTTAAAGGGATGTGAGAAAATCATAAAAAAACCCAAGAAAACTAAGACAATCCAATTGTCTCACCAAGACAGCTATATGCTTTATTATCTGGTTAAATTAAAGCTATATAGTAAGCTGTAGAAACATCTTTAAGACAGCTTTCCAAACAGTTCCCCTCCAGGTCTGATGCACCGGGACTTCCTTCTCCACTTTTATTTTGTAATTCATTCTTAGAAGAATTTTATCCTAATTATCCTTCTTAGCAAGTTGCTTATTAGAAATAGACAATACACACTCTTCTTGAGAGATGCGTTGGGAGGACTATTTATATAATCTGAGATAGAACATACTACACACATTGTAAAGCGTAACATGCTTAAGACCAAGTCTACCAGCAAATTGCTCTATTAGTCAGTCTCCCTTTCAGGAAAGCAGATGCCTGACACCGTACTGCCTATTCACATTCCACTTCCCCATCCCAATAACTCGTCAATCTGGTGGCCAATACCCAAAATAAGTGCAAATTTTTCGAGAGCCCTAGCTGAACAAGGGAATGCCCAGGCTGAAGGAAAGGCTGCTAAGCAGCTTTCCTAAGCTTTGCCCCAACGCAGGCCAAGGAGCTCGCACAGAGCCAAGCACCAGCCACAGCATTCAACTCCTCGGTCCGGCCACACTGGGGGCAACAGGACTTGTACTGCAGGAGAACACACAGGTATGCTGTTACACACGTAGGAAATTAAGCTTCGTGACTTCCAGCAGTGAAGGATACGGTTGCTTTTTGTTATATTCACGGGTCCTACCCTTTTAATCAAAACCACAGCCCTGCTTTAGGGAGGACAAAGTGGTCACACCAACAAAAAGGAGAGGAGCGCAGAGAGTCACCCGGAACATCCCCCCATGCCTGCCGCACGGGATCTGCTCTTTCTTTGCGCACTTATCAAAAAGTCCGCTCCCCCCGACCCGCCGCGGTGGGAGGCACG